AAACAAAATATTACCAGCTTCCTAGAAGTCTCCTTCTGGCCTGAGCCATGTGGTGGCCTGGAGCCATCTCCTACCAGCTCACCAAAGCAGTTCATATTTTCCCAACTCTGGGTACAGTGATGCCTTGTTAGTAGTTTGAAATTGGCCTTAGTGGGGGGTATTTACACCATGGAAATTGGCAAACACTAAAAATCATGGATTTTTTTTGGTGAGGGTGGTTAGTTTACTAGTCTACCACTGTTCCTACCTGTTGCTAAACCATGATTTTCCTACCCATCCCCAAGGGTAACCACTCTCCAGAATTCTAAAACTGCAGATTAGTTTTGCCAGGTTTGGAACCTTATGTTAGTGGAATCTTACAGTATGAAAATTTTCATGTAGGGCTTCTTTCACTTAACATTACACCATGATGTGATGTGAGATCCGTGTTATTATGTGTTGACTACAGTTCAGTCTCATTGGTGTATATATTCCACTCTATGACTAAAGCACATTTTACTTGTTTATTCTACTGATGATGGACATTTGTGCTGTTTCTGAGTTTTGGCTATTATGAAAGTGTCACTGTGAACATATTTGTTCACATAATTTTTTAAAATCTGAAAGAGATACCTCTGAGAAATATCTCTTACAAATACATTTTAGTATTATGATGTCTAGATCTCTATCTTTTCTATTTATTGCTAAGTTAGTCCTATCTACAAATACAATGCATTTGGAATTTGTGGGTTAGTCATTACTGTTTTCAAATTAATACTGATCTTAAGGGATTTTTGATAAGAATGAGAAAACTAATCTTACATTTCTTTTTATTTTTATGTTTTATTGCAACAAAACATCATACCATGACTTTTATTGACCATCTAAGCTTATATTTAATAAATAAAAAGTGTTAAAAAGCTTAATTTTTTTTTTAAAGACAGGCTCTCATTCTGTTGCCTGGACTAGAGCTCAGTGGCATCATCATAGCTCATGGCAACCTCAAACTACTGGGCTTAAGTGATCCTCCTGCTTTAGCCTTCTGAGAAGCTGGGACTATAGGTGCATACTACCACATCTGGCTAATTTTTCTATTTTTGGGAAAATAGAGATGGGATCTTGCTATGTTGTCCAGGCTGGTCTTGAACTCCTGGGCTTAAGCGAGCCTCCCACCTTGGCCTCCCAAAGTACTAGGATTACAGGCATTAGCCACACCCAAAGTACTAGGATTACAGGCATTAGCCACACACTTGGCAAAAAAGCTTCAAAGTGTTTTTAAAATTGTTATATTTTTAAATGTCTATTTGACTCTGTATTATTAAAATAACCAAATCTTAATGAGTGTTGTTTAACAACCTCTTCTTACATAATATTCCCTTGCCTTTTCCATTTCATTTTGTAAAGTAATAACTTGTTCCTCTATGTTTCTTAGATTCTACCCCTGTAGTTGCTAATATTGCATTATCTGCTCTCTTAGGTCATGAATTTCTCAAAGGCAGAGATAGTGTCCTGTTCAGTTCATCCTTTTATACACAGCGACTAATCCAGAGGGAGAAATTCAAAATTAGGTTACTGTTAGATTTAGTTCCTAATTTAAAAACTAACTCCCCCTTGCAAAAATACTAACGAATCAAACAAACAAGAACCACCCCCCAACCTCAAACAACAAAACAAACCATCAGAAGATGGTTATTAGATGTCATTTTAATCAAGTTATTAAATGTTCACTTTTTGTATATTTTAGACATTGATATAAAGCCAGGAAGGATCTTCCTGCTTACATGTACTCATGCATTCTTATAGCAACTTTCTAGCTATTTATTTCTTTCAGTAGTTTTGTATCACTGCTATTCTCAACTCTCTCTTAGAAGATGAGGTAGGGTTAAAGCTACGCAGAATTGTAATGAAAGCTTAGAACCAGTCTATGGCATGTAACCAGGTAACATTCAGAAGAGAGAATGGTTGTTGGGTGAGTGCATCAGTCTTTGCAGCTAGTTCAGGAGACTCTCACAAAGTTTATAGAAGTTTTATGCAGAAATGGAGAGAGAGAGAGAGAGAGAGAGAGAGAGAGAGAGAGAGAGAGAGAGA